CCCAGCACTTTGGGAGGCCGAGGCGGGTGGATCATGAGGTCACGAGATCGAGACCATCCTGGTAAACATGGTGAAACCCCGTCTTTACTAAAGATACAAAAAATTAGCTGGGCATGGTGGCGTGTGCCTGTAATCCCAGCTACTCAGGAAGCTGAGGCAGGAGAATTGCCTGAACCCAGGAGGCAGAGATTGCGGTGAGCTGAGATGGTGCCATTGCACTCCAGCCTGGGTAACAAGAGCGAAACTCTGTCTCAAAAGTAAATAAATATGTAAAGGACGAAAGAGTCTAGGCATCAAACTGCAGGACCTAATGAATGTCCGCTGACAGCCCTTGGCAAAGGTCACATGGGTTTGAATTCTGAGGGTGCTATAAAAAGATAGAGGGCAGAATTTAAGATTAAATAAAGGAGAATTCATGAATTTGAGAAGACTCTTTCAAGTTATAGAATTTAATGTCTCGGCAAAGTCCCCAGGAGAGAGTGCAAACATGCTCCAAGGGTAGATCTAGATGCATGGTAAAATTGGTGGCTCACGTACTTAACTAGAAATGCCTGAACTGCACTGCAGATAGTTCCAGATACGGCAAAATGGATGATACAAGTAGGCATCATGAAGAACATATATTGTGTAATGTTGGAACCAATACTTCTCCCTGACCTCCAACAGATGATTCTGTTCCACAGAAGAGCTGGAAGATGTATCATTTACCAAAATAATAAAGAATGCACAAATAGGAGGTACATCACAGCCCTGAGAATTTCAGTAATGGCTCTTTACATCAGGCTGCTGCTACCAAATGGGCACTGAAGAGTGAAACTCACTCCTAGAGATGGGATCAATACAAATGGAGGCCAGGTTGCAGTATTTAACCTTCAGAAATCACATTGTTATATGAAGTCAAGATCTTTTTCTCAAGAATGAAGGACTTAATCCCCCAACTGCAAGTCCAACGACACATTTACTTCCCAAAGTGACCTGCCTCCAGTGACTCTTAGGCATGGAGATATCGTGGGTGAACCTCCTTACCTCATCTTGGAACAACTCTAAATGGTCATTTGGGATTTAAAATTTCCACAGGGCTGGCTGAGGACTGCACCGAGACTGCACTGAAGGTCACTTCTCCTGCCTGAACATACTTTTTAATCTTTGTCTCACAGTCATTAATTCCACAATTGTAAGAATTCGTTAACACAAAGCTCACTCATGGAAATCTCTCTCCCTTCCTCAGGAAAGCCATTTGGTAACAAATAAATCTACGTTGATGGGGCTGTCCTATCTTAAAAAATATATAATAAATAAATAAATAAATCATTAAAGATCTTAGATCTCATCCTAAGTCATCAAATAATGCAGGTAAATAACATAAAAACAAATGCTTAGGATAAGACACATATAAAAGCAGGAAACAAGGGCAATTTAATTTTTTTAGAAAATAAAATCTTTTATGAACTAAAAGCGTATGTTGAAAATGCATGTTAGTGCTGTTACACTGTCATGGTAGAAGTTACGTTGTACCAGTTCCTACCATGACAGAATAATATGTGGTTTATTCTCATAATGTATAAGAACAGAATGTATAAAAAGTGATATGGTTTATTTTTATACATGTATAATATATATACATTTATGAGATATACATGTATATATTCTTATACATGTATAATACTGTATACATGTATGAGGATATGCAAACATGTATAAGGATAAATGGTATCACTCAGAAAACATAAAGTTATAATTATACACTGGTAGTAACCTCTACCATGACAGTATTAGTTCTACTTATGTCCTAATAGGATTTTTTTAGACAAAGTCTTGCTGTCACCAGGCTGGAGTGCAGTGGTGTGATCTCGGCTCACTGCAACCTCTGTCTCCTGGATTTGAGCAATTCTCCTGCCTCAGCCTCCCAAGTAGCTGGGACTACAGACATGTACCACCATGCGCAGCTAATTTTTGTATTTTTAATGGAGATGGGGTTTCACCACGTTGGCCAGGATGGTCTCGATCTCTTGACTACGTGATCCTCCTGCTGGGCCTCCCAAAGTGCTGGGATTACAGGCGTGAGCCACCGCACCAGACCCCTAATACTACTTTTATCACAGCATATAAATGACACACCAAAATTATGAAGTACACCAAACACAACTGAATAGAGTCGCTACCACGTAATGAGTCATTAAATCCTTCACCTTCCCAGAGCATTATCCACCTCTGGGATTCTGAAGAAGACAGTTGTTCTCTGCCAACGGCTCCTCACAAGCAATTACATGTTTTGTTTTGTGAATTAATGATGTAGGGTCCAAAGCTGTTCTCCAACCTGAGGAGTTATTGGAAAAACATGTTTCATGTGCCTGAATGGTTTTTAGACCTGAAACATTCTGGGTTTACGCTGTGCCGCAGCAACAATGTATGTGCATTTACTTGACTTTTGCTTCTTAGGATGATGACACTGTTTAATCTACTAACCCTTTGAACTTTGGGTCATGGCTTACTTTGCAGACTCACAAATTCGTTCTTCTGTCACATTCTCTAAGAGAAAAATTATTTTATGAGTGAACCACAACTAGATTCAAAATACTGGCTCAGTGACATGGCCCACTGGTTTACAGAGCAAATGAAGTTTTAAATTTTTCTCTCATGCTACAATTATTAACGATTTTTACAAAATAACTTTTCATAAAGCTTTTATAAATACTCTCAAAAGAACAGCCCCTCTTTAGATACACATAAGCTATAATGAAGAAGGATAAGGGAAAGGAAACTCACATTTATTGAGCCTTTACATATTATTCAGTTCCAAATACTTCTTGATGTTTTATGAGTATTTCCAAACAAAATGTTTTCAAACACCCAAACACACATGCAGTTATATTCAATAGTAGAACTAGGACTGAGGATTGTGTCTATCCAAAATCCATGATCTTTCCATTGCACCCAGCAGTGGAAGGAAACGGCACTAATATTACAATGAACACAACGGCAGCTACCACCATTTCAATTTCAGCAACAATGTAAACATTAGCATTAATTCTGTTGCATGCTTCCTATATTTCAGACAATAATTTTTAACCCATTTTCTTTCCTCGTGAGCCTCTGAGCTGGGCAACATCATCACCGGACCCATTTTACAGATGAGGAAATTGTGATTGGTAGATTGAGAGATGGAGTCTCGCTCTATTGTCCAGGCTGGAGTGCAATGGCGCGATCTCAGCTCACTGCAACCTCCGTCTCCCGGGTTCAAGTAATTCTCCCACCTCAGCCTCCTGAATAGCTGGAATTACAGGCATGTGCCACCATGCCCAGCTAATTTTTGTATTTTTAGTAGAGACGGGGTTTCGCCATGTTGGCCAGGCTGGTCTCCACCTCCTGACCTCAGGTGATCCGCCCACCTTGGCCTCCCAAAATGCTGGGATTACAGGTGTAAGCCATCACACCCAGCCAAGGAAATTGTGATTTAGGGAGTTCATAAGATACTTGCCCAACATTACACAGCAAGTAAGTTTGTTAATGGTGGATAAGGAATCAAAACCTACGTCCATTTGATATCAAGTTAAGATTCTAAACATCTGCTGAGCAAAACTCAGAATTATCACTGACAAGTGGATTTCCTCCCTCACTCCTTAGTAGCCACCTGAGACTGAAAAGATATTAGTCCCATTGAACCCAGGTGGCTACCATGGAGGCTGTGAGTAGAAAGAAGGTGCAGCTCTACATTTGAAAGAATTTGAATAAGCAGAAATTCCCGATCATTGCAAACGAAGATTATTGAGAGGAAAGAGGAGCATCAGACTCATCTGCAGATTATTGCAGGATCTGTTATGGCTCATTAGCTTTCTCTTCCCTTTCATTTTGGTTTGACATCTCTGTGAACATTTGTTCACAATTAATCAAGCCCGCCCAGTGCAAGGTCACAGAGAGTGCCTGGGTTGACACAAACCTACCAGCACAATGGCTAAAAACAACCCAGTGCTTTTTGTCCTGCTGACAAGTGGGTTCAGAGAATCTCTTCTATACAAAAAGGCTAGCAGTTCACGTTTCCATATGCTGCAGGGGGCTCTCAGCTGGAGCATGACATGGAACACATTACCTGCTCTCTGCCAGAGGACAGGTGGCCCAATTCCTCTCTCTCAATTCCACAGTCTCTTGGGCCTTGCATAGCTGGCTGTTTACTAATAAAAACCACAGCATTGATTGCACCGGATAGCAGATGTTTGCAGTGGCCCACCCATCTCTGTCAGCCCCTGCCAAGCCAGCGTACCCAGCTGATATCTAACTGCAGCCTCTGCATGTTTGCATCTGAGGAATCTTCTCTAGTACTGCAAGTCCACCTGTCAGCATGTCTGAGGCCAGAGGTGCCAGGAGGCTGCACCACGGGAGCAGCCCTTGGTCAATGACTAATGAGAAACGCTGCCTAAAACTCCAGGCCACACACCCTCCTCCAAGAAAGGAGGAGTCTGAGGGGTGCATTTTACACTATTTCCTAAAGTTTCCGTAGGATTAGATGCCTCTTGCTGAGGCTTAACACACTCTTCCCTGTCTGCCTCTTTGTTCCTATCTTACCTCCCTGCTTCCCCAATGGGGTTTTTTATATAAAGTAATACCTTATAAAGTATACCCTTTATATAAAGTAATTTTCCTCGAATCTCTGTCTTAGTATCTGCATTGGGGAAATACCACGGTTAAAAAATAAAAATTTAGAAAGAGAAAGTTAAGTCTAAAAAACATGAAGAAAGCCATGTTTGATGAGTAAGAGGTTAGTGGATTCAGGGAAAAGGAACATCAGGTAGAGGCTGCTGCTCAGGGGATTCTGTTTCCCTGCCTCTCTGAACAGCACGAAACCTCCCGCAATTCATGTCCCCACACTGCCGAGAATTTTTTTTTTTTTTTTTTTTGAGAGGGAGTCTCACTCCGTTGCCCAGGTTAGACTGCAATGGCATGACCTTGGCCCACTGCAATCTCTGCCTCCCGGGTTCAAGTGATTCTCTTGCCTCAGCCTCCCAAGTAGCTGGGATTACAGGTGCACAGCACCATGCCCAGCTAATTTTTTTATTTGATTATAATTTTTTGTGTTTTTAGTAGCGACAGGTTTCACCATGTTGGCCAGGATGGTCTGGAACTCCTGACCTCAGGTGATCCAGACATCTCGGCCTCCCAAAGTGCTGGGATTACAGGCACAAGTCACTATTCCTGGTCTGGAATTAGTTTTCTTAAGGGACAAAGGGTCAAAGGAGGAGAAATCGTGACAAAAGTCTGAAAACTTAATAGTATTTTCTTTTTTGAAATTCATCAGAGATTTAATTCAAGTTTTCTTTGCTCCCCGGATTCATACATTTTACTATGGAAAATATTGTTCAGAGCTAACAAATAGAAACTGTAATGCTTATCTTTCCGAATTTTTACAAAAAACCACATGAGATCGTAAAGCTTTGTTGAGATGAAGGTACTGGGATTGGCTCTACCTATTTGCTGAGAGATCAGGTCCTCTACCAGAACCTACTCACCTGTGATAAGAAGACTTCGGGGGTTGCTCCCGAAAACGTTAACCCTAGAATTGCACACACCCACAGTGTAATGTCTTTTTGCTGTTATCATGGGCATTCTTGAGCACGTTAATGAATCTCGCATTATCAGATTATCAAATGTGATACTGTACACTAGCTGTCAGTCAAGTCTCTGCCAACATTGAAGATTTTTGGATCTTTGCTAAACTTTGCAATCCTCCACTGGCCCATAGTCTAAATGTCTTAGCCTTCAAGGCCCTGCCTCCTATTCTCCAATCTACTGACTCACCACTGCTTTTTACGCTATTACCAAAGACTGCAGCCAATGAGAGTAATTTGCTCCTTGCTAAGCACAGCTGGGCCCCCCATGCCTCAGCATTATGGTCATTGCCTTCACCTGCCAGTGAATTCCACCTACCAGGTCAATTCCCCCTTCCGGTGACTCCATCTCAAGCTCAGCCTCATGTCAGCCTTCTTTCTAGATCTTCAAATCAGGGCATAGCCCTCTGCTCTCATTTCTCCTGTGTTCCTTGCCATGTTTTATTCTGAATTTCAGATATCTAAGCTCATATCTAGTCTCCCCTACTAGGATATAAATCCCTGAGTTAATATCATGCTAAGCTCACACTTCTCTAATTCCCCAGAGTGTCGTATCATTGCACTATGATGCAGTCCATGTTCTATAAATATTAGTAAGAAAAACATGTAACAGTACCTTCATCTGCTTCCCTGGAATTCCCATAAGGTATCAGCAGTTAGGGAGCATTTTAGTTCAGTCTTCATGAGAGTCTCTCGGGAATGTATTTAAGTCTTCTGGTTTCTAAGGAGGGGGAGAGAAATCTCAGTTTCCTCATCAGATAATAGTAGTGCATGCATTTTCTGCTTTATAACTTTTAAAGAAACTATCTTCTAATTAATTCAGCCTGGAGATAGGCACAGGGTAAGTGCTCAATGCACCTTAGCAGATTTAACTAAAATTTGCCTTATTTTTGTTTTCTAATTAAACAATATTTGATATTGATATTAAACAGTCTTTTTAAACACCATATATAATCGTACATATTAAGTCTATTCCATAAAGTGACTGCAAGGGTCTTCTTGACGCGATGTCAGAAATGAGTCTAGAGTTTCCAAAGTATTTAAAGGTCCACCCACAAGAGCCTGTTCTGACTTCCTGTAAGAAGCTGAGAAGTGTGCACTTCATCCAGGCAAGTAAAAAACTGAAAGATTCTCATTGTTCAGCTCCCACTTGTAAGAGAAAACATGTGGTGTTTGCTTTTCTGATCCTGCATTAGTTTGCTGAGGATAATGGCTTCCAGCTTCATCCATGTTCCTGCAAAGGACATAATCTCAATCCTTTTTATGGCTGCATAGTATTCCATGGTGTACATGTACCACATTTTCTTTATCCCGTCTATCACTGATGGGCATTTGGGTTGATTCTATGTCTTTGCTATTGTGAACAGTGCTGCAGCGAACATACATGTGCATGTATCTTTGTAATAGAATGATTTAGATTCCTGTTGGTATATACTTAGTAATGGGATTGCTGGGTCAGATGGTATTTCTGGTTTTGGCCCTGTCATGGAGAGGGTAGCGTGTGGGGAGGGAGAGTATTAGGAAAAATAGCTAATGCTTGTTGGTCTTAATACCGAGGTGATGGGTTGATAGGTGCAGCAAACCACCATGGCATATGTTTACCTAAGTAACAAGTCTGCCCTTCCTCTACCTGTTCCCCAGAACTAAAAATTAAAATCAAATTTTTTAAAAACTGAAATATTATCAACTCTTCTTAGAGCCATAAGAAAAGTGAGGGTTCAGGTACACTGTGGCCCCTAAATTGGAAAAACAGACAGGACCCAGAGAATCACAACTTACCCAAGCAAAAATCCACCAGCAGAAGCCTCTGCAGGAGCAGAGCCAGGATGGGAAAACCCAAGTTGTGACTGATGAATGACTGGAGGCTTGGTGTGGATGAGTCAGGACAAAAATTCCAGGGAGACTGAGTCACAGGCAGGATCCCACAGTTTGTGAGATTTACCTCCAGCAGCTCAACCAGTTCCTCACAGTGAATATCAGAGAAAATCCCCGTGCTTCCAGCAGCGGGAAGGGAAAAGGAACCATTTTGAAATATACCAGAGCCTTCTGCTCTTCTTAATGAGGTCTGCTCTCAGGAGAAACTCATTAACAGAGGCCAACCTGCTGAGAGTTTATGAGAGTCTGACTCACCTGGGCAAAGGGGCGTACCCAACTCCAGGTCACTCCAGCCAACTTGTACCACCTCAGGGAGGGAACCCGAGAGCTTGTGAGCTCATAGTCTCAGGCAGAGGCTCACCAGACACTGAGATCTCACCATGGGGCTGTAGGATCCTTCCTCCCCCTGCACACCCTGTGAGCAGATCGCTAAAGTTCTACTTATGTTTTTTTTTTTTTTCACAGTGCATCATGTTCACCAGGCTTCTTTTTTAAAATTTACTTTTAATTGACAAACAAAAATGACTTATATTTATCATGTATTAATACAGCATGATGGTATTTTATTGTGATGCTGTTATTTTTGAGATGGGGTCTCACTCTGTCAAGTTCAGTGCTGTGATGTTGGCTCACTGGAGCCTGGCCTCCCTGGCCCCACTGGGATAGACCTGTTGATTGGGTCCATAGGGATGGGTCTGGAGCCTATAGTCTTGGAGGCTGGCCAAGCACTATGGCTAACATGCAGTCTGACTCCATGGGGGCAGGCCTGTATCTCCAGGAGTAGTCCTAGGATCCTGGGCTGTCAGGGTTGGCTTATCGCTGGGGTCTATTGGAGTGGGCCTAGACTCTGGGTCTGCTAGAATATACCCAGCCCCTGAATCCTCAGAACCTGAGGCCCCGAGGACTTGTCTGAAACTGGACAATGGAATATTATGTGGCACTGAAAAGTAATGAGCTACCATGCCATAAAAAGACATGAAGGAAACAAAAATACATATTACCAAGTAAAGTAAGTCAATATAAAAAGGCCACATAGACATAATTTAATTATATAACATTTTGGAAATGGGAAAATGATGGTAGAGCAGGGGTCACCAGCCCCTGAGCCATGGACCAGTACTGGTCTTGGCCTGCTAGGAATTGGGACGCACAGCAGGAGGTGATGCCAGGGTGAGTGAACAAAGCATCATTTCTATTTATAGGCACTCCCCATGACTCACATTATTGCCTGCACTCTGCCTACTGTCAGGTCAGCTGTGGCATTAGATTCTCATAGGAGCATAAACCCTATTGTGAACTGTACATGCAAGGGATCTAGGTTGCATGTTCCTTATGAGGATCTAATGCCCAATAATCTATCGCTGTCTCCCATCATCCCCAGATGGGACTGTCTAGTTGCGGGAAACCAGCTCAGCGTTCCCACTGATTCTACACTACGGTGAGTTGTAGAATTATTTTCTTATTTATTACAATGTAATAATAATATAAATAAAGTACAAAATAAATATAAAATGCATGAATCATCCTGAAGCCATACCCTCATCTTAGCCCATGGAAAAATTGTCTTCCACAAAACCAGTCCCTGGTGCCGAAAGGGTTGGGGATGGCTGTGGCCGAGCACCAAGAATTTTTATGGCAGTAAAGCTACTCTGCTTGACACTATAATGTTAGATTTCTGTCACAATACATTTATCAAAACACACAGAATGTACATTAAGTGTGAACCCTAATGTAAATTCTGAACTTTAGATGATAATGATGTGTCAATGTAGTTCCGTTGATTGTAATAAATGTACCACACAGTTTGGCGTATGGATAGTGAGGGAGGCTGTGCATGTGTGAGAGCAGGAGATACATGGAAATTCTCTGGACATTCTGTTCAATTTTGCTATGAACTTAAAACTGCTCTAAAGAAATAAAGTGGTTTCTCTAAAGCATGTTCTATCACCTAAAATTATTGCCATTCATTGTAGAAGTAATTTTTTGAAATCTTTGTATCATCACAATCTTTTATTAAAATTAAAATTAAAATGTTACTTGTAAAAAAGCCGCTTATTATAAAATTAAATTTCAACCCATAAAGAGATTGACTTTCTTAGAGATATCATATGATGTAATTGTCACTTATGCAAATTTGAAGAATTGGGAATAATAAGGGAATAATGAGCCATAATAAAGCGGGCTCCAATGTCTCCAACTAGCCAAAAGAAGATGAGATAGGGATCAGAGGATTGCGGCCAAAGACCAGCCACATACAAATTAGTTCTGTTACTCAGCGTTCCAAATGTTCTTTAGCAGGCTTATGAAAACCCATAAGTTCTTCTTATTTAGAATTTTATGCATATTTCTTTTAGAGAGTGAATACTTTTAGTCTGATAATACACCTTTAAGTGAGATGGCAGGGCTTCAATGTTATACTAGATAAAAAACCATTGAATAAAGGTTTTAGGAATCCACACTTTATGTTTTCCAAGTTTTAAGCACTAGTTATTCACTTTTACACTGTTAGTGGGAATGTAAACTAGCACAACCATTCTGGAAAACAGCATGGAGATTCCTTAAAGAACTAAAAGTAGAGCTACAGTTTGATCCAGCAATCCCACTCCTGGGTATGTACCCAGAGGAAAAGAAGTCGTTATATGAAAAACATACTTGCACATGCATGTTTATAGGGCACAATTCACAATTGCAGAAATATGGAACCAGCCCAAATGCCCATCAATCAACGAGTAGATAAAGAAAAGTTGGTGTGTGTGTATATGTATATATATATATATATATATATATATATATATATACATATACACACACACACACACATATATATATACACACACACACACACACATATATACATATATATGTATACACACACATGCACCATGGAATACTACTCAATCGTAAAAAGGAACAAAATAATGGCATTTGCAATAATGGCATTCCAATAATGGAGTTGGAGACCATTATTCTAAAGGAAGTAATTCAGGAATGGAAAACCAAACGTTGTATGTTCTCATTCATAAGTGGGAGCTAAGCTACAAGAATGCAAAGGCGTAAGAATGATACAATGGACTTTGGGGACTCAGGGGAAAGGGCGGGAGGGAGGTGAGGGATAAAGGTTACACATTGGGTACAATGTACACTGCTTCGGAGATGGGTGCACGGAAAGCTCAGAAACCACCACTGAAGAACTTATTCAGGTAACCAAACACCACCTCTTCCCTAAAACCAAGAAAATAAAATAAGCAGTACTTATTGTAGTTGTTCCAGCAGTTCTATTTGAGTTCCTTTTATATGAAATGAGAGGAATTAGCTAAAATCATCACAAATGATCCTCAAGAACACATTCTTTTCTCTAGATCTTAAACAGAATTGGACAACATAGAACTTTAAAGAAAAGTTATAAAATAAATGCTTTCACTTTAAAATTTCCCTATGAAGGCTTGTGGCAGTTACAGTCTATTCTATTCTAGAATGCGGTCAATTTACAATGTATTTGAAGTATGTATATTCAGATGATTTTGCTTGTAGTTGTTGACTGGTTATAATTGTATAGGTATACATTAAAATGGTGTGATTTTCAAAACGTGTTCAAATATTCAGGAAAGAGATGTTTTTCCTGCTTTTTAAATAATGTTTGTTTTTTAAATTATTCAAATATTGCAAAAAATAACTAATAGTTGTGTATATAAAGCTTGAAAATTATGCTAGCAAGAAACTAGAACTTTAGGAAAATAATATTAAAAAGGTTACTGCAGGAGCAACCACGAGATATGTACATGACCTAATGTTGAAATAAATATTTCATTTCATTTCTCATCCAGAGAAAACTGTAGCTATGCTGTT